TGAGTGTGTTTGATAAGACTGTTGCATGGGATTTTCCTGTTATACGATATCCTAGTGCAACGTCGAACATTCCATCTCATCAGCCTGCAGGTGTGCTCACCGGTCAGCTTACGCAGTTTGAGCAGATTTGTGACAATTGGCATGATTTCAGAACTGCGACAACAATGCTTGTCCGCCGTTTGCTTTCTCGTGGCCATGCTCCATCAACATCAGCCCGTGGATGGACTTGTTACATTCGTGCTTGCCAGCGTCGACACCCTGTACATGTAACTCGTCTTACACAGTGGTTTCCACGTATGCTTCGCTGGTCCATGCATCATCCTCTTTCACCTTCTCCTCCCCTCCCCTTTCCCCCTCTTCCTCCCTCTTCCTCCCCCCCTCCTCCCCTTCCTTTTTTCCAACTTCTCATCCTCCTTCCCCTCCCCCTCCCCCTCCTTGTCCTCCCCTCCCCTCCCCCCCCCCTCCTCCTCTCCACTTCCCCCTTCTTCTCCCCCTCCTTCCCCTTCCGCTTCCCCTCTGCCTTCACCTTCCTCTCCCTCTCCCCCTCCCTCTCCTTCTCCTCCCTCATTGCCTGCATCCTCTTCTTCTTTGTCACCTCCTTTTTCTTCTTCTTCTTCTTCTTCTTCTTCTTCTTCTTCTTCTTCCACTTCTTCTTCTTCCTCTTCTTCTTCTTCTTCTTCTTCTACTTCCCCTTCCTCTTCTTCTTACTCTTTTTCTTCTTCCTCTTCCCCACGCCGATCTTCGTTGTCCATATTGGGACGTCGGCAGGCTCGTTCATTCTCTCCTCCTCCCAGTCCCCCTCCTTCTGGACGTCGTGTTGATGATAATCTGCGGGGTTCTGTCTTACCGGCAGCCTGCTCTGCCACGTCGACGGAGTTCGCCATTTACGCGCCGACTCCACCAGATCAGATCTGGCTTTCCAATGGTGACCGATTTGGATCTGCGGGCAGACCTACCAAATATTTGTGGTTTGACAGCCACAAATGTCTGCCTACAGATCTGGNTGGTTTGATCTGGCTTTCCAATGGTGACCGATTTGGATCTGCGGGCAGACCTACCAAATATTTGTGGTTTGACAGCCACAAATGTCTGCCTACAGGCTTATCAGCATCAATGCTATACTGCATCCTGATTTGTTACGATTGCTTATCAGCTTATCAGCTTGACGCTGTTGAAAATCAGTTGTGGTACTACCTCGGGAGGCTTTACTGTAAATGTCTTACAGTTAGCGTTCCACGGCCGCCACCTCATCCACCTCCTTATGCATCATGCTACGCCAGGCGATGACCTCAATAACCATCCTCATATTTCCGCCTGTATTTTACACAGACCCGGGCATTATATGGCACTCRTTCGTGCAGCTGCCCAGTGGGAACTGTGGGATGGTGGGACGATGAGTCAGGCTATTTTCAACGTAAATGAATTTTTGCGTGCATTGTCGAATCATACTTTATTCTGGATTATTGACTGACTCTCGTGTGACACGTGTCGGGACAGAGACGCGGTGCGCCTTGGCTGTGGAATGCATCATCTATGCCATAGCCATTATCAAATCTATTGCGACTGCCGCCATCTGTACTGAAGGGTGTCCGACATTTCCTCATTGTACACATCCCTATCACCCAGATATGCGGTCCCTTTTGTGCCCAAGGACGCTATCAGAACTGCATGATGCCGCACTGTGATGAACGTCCTGCTGTTTTTTTGACATGTGGACAACATGTCCTCTGTCAGGACTGTTTTCATCGGATGGTTCCTGCTAGCCGTCCTGCTGAATGCTGTACTAGCGCAGCTCTCCTTGGGTATCCTTGTGACCATCCACATCATCCTCACCTTGGGTATCCTTGTCAACATCCACATCATCCTCACCGTCGCTGTCCTATCTGCCAAGGTGGGGACAGATAAAGCCTTCGACACTACCAAGAGACACGGAGTTAAAGAAAAAAAGAGAAAAAAAGAAAATACGAAAATAGGTTGATCTGTGGCATGTGTTATTTGATTTGTGGCAATTGGATTATCTGTGGGATGTGTCATTTGCTTTGTTTGACTCATAGGATTTCTTTCCCTGTCAGGTTTGGTTTTCCTCCTCCTTTTCTTTACCTCTTTGCCTTCTGGCTGCGTGCAAGTGGGTCCTTGTGACACACGGGGATGGGGGCAGCCAGCGCTCAACCTGTCATCCACGTGGCTGGCCTTGTACGTAAGAGGTGATGAACAGGTGGGGCTCTCCTTCCTTACTTCTTTTCCTTTTCTTGTTTCGTCTTTTTCAGCCTTCGCGCTCCAATTCACAGTGTGACAATATATATACATTATATACATAGTAATATACACTATGACAATATATACTAATATGAGTACTTCAACATCTACGTATATACACTCTGATTGGGTGCCTCATTCCCCCCAAATTTGATCGTCATTCGACCACATTGTGGCGGCCTTATATTAACATCATAGAGAGAGAGAGAGAGAGAGAGAGAGAGAGAGAGAGAGAGAGAGAGAGAGAGAGAGAGAGAGAGAGAGAGAGANTTACTTCTTTTCCTTTTCTTGTTTCGTCTTTTTCAGCCTTCGCGCTCCAATTCACAGTGTGACAATATATATACATTATATACATAGTAATATACACTATGACAATATATACTAATATGAGTACTTCAACATCTACGTATATACACTCTGATTGGGTGCCTCATTCCCCCCAAATACAATCGTCATTCCACACAATTGTGGCGGCCTTAACTTAAAATCATAGAGAGAGAGAGAGAGAGAGAGAGAGAGAGAGAGAGAGAGAGAGAGAGAGAGAGAGAGAGAGAGAGAGAGAGAGAAATCAGACAACACCAACATAAATTAAACAGTAAACATAATATACAGGTTAAAAAATTACAAATATAATACAATACTTCATGTACATGAATATACAGATAGATCCATCTGACAGCTTCCCTCTCGCAGCGCTGCGATCCTTACGACAGGACCAGCGCGAGCCCAGTGGGGATAGCATTCAATTTCACGAGTGTCGGGAAACGTATAAACCAAAGAGCGGGATCAAAACCCTCAGTAAAAGGCGCAGCCCTTGACGACTGGCAGAATCTCCTTAACCACAATCACGGGGTAAACATTTTCGCAACGCCCGCACAAACCCGACGCCAATCAAACGATCACGAACACTACGCAACAGCTCTCTCCCGATCCTCGGGAATCCCGACTCCCTTCAATTCAACTACTGCTCTTAAAACCGAGCACAAAGGCAGAACTTTTCCCTGGAACGTCTCTCTCTCTCTCTCTCTCTCTCTCTCTCTCTCTCTCTCTCTCACACACACACACACACACACACACACACACACACACACACACATTTATCTACAAACCTGCCCCATTCACCATATCACACACAGTCCGTGTCCCCTACCCATCCATGTCAACATCCGAAAAAAAACATATAACACACAGCCGCGGAGAACAGCGGACCCGCTCCCTCCCCACTGGACACAACTGAGTTGAAGGGAAAGGCGCATACGTACTTCAACCGCGACAGCCGCGCGCTTCGCTCCGCCTCTTGATCAATCTCCGTTTTGTGCGCCCCCTCTTTTCTCATAATCAAAACCCTCGACCTACCGTGGACGCCCTTGCTTCGGAGGGTTGCATCTCCTGAGGGCCCATCGTCCGTCAGACGACGCCCCGCGCAAATCATGCTGATGGCATCGGGATGGAGCCCAGATCGCCGCGCAATTTCCGTTCGCAGTTCTCGGACCGTCCACGTGTCCAGCTGAACGACGATCTCCCCGGACCATGCGGCGCCCGCCACTTTAAGTACAGTTGAGCTATCCTCCGATGCGCTCCCTCCAGCCCGCTCGTACGCCATATCCACAAGCTAGAAAGCGTCTAATCTTCTTGCCCTGCCTCCTCGCAGAGAAAGCAGCACGTGTTGTGCAATAGCGAATGCAACCTTCACGAGCGTTTTCTCAATCGCTAACGAAGCCTAGCAACCGCCCTAGCAACTCCATGGATATCATAAACACAGAGAGAGATAGAGAGATAAAGAGAAAGATCGTTGAAAATCGTACACAGAGAGAGAGAGAGAGAGAGAGAGAGAGAGAGAGAGATCGCTATGCACTATGAGCCACCGCCCAAAGATGTGCACAGACAGCGAGAGAGACGGTGGCAGTCACACTCCCGCCCAGCCAGCCACTTACGACCGAACGGTAAATTGGTCCCGGGCGAAACCCTTCAGATTCAACACCCACGCTCGTGATCAGTATCTACAACACAGCGACCGAAAGCCACACGATCGCATCCTTTCTGTCAACGATCGTGCTTGCGGTCCGCCCTCAGAAGCCCAGCGCGATCGGATCAGAGTCGCCGCCCGCGCAGCCGTGTACGACCGGTACGGTCAATTGGTCCTCACAGGCGCAACCTTTCAGAATTAACGCCCATGCTCGTGCGCAAGTTGCTGCACCATGCGACCGGTAGCCGCACGATCACATGCTTGCTGCCAAGGACCGTGCTTGCAGTCCGCCCTCAGAAGCCCAGTGCCATCGGATCAAAGCGGGCGCGAGAAGCACTGCGACCGCTCTACTGCAGAGGTCATTTCCGCTTCGGTAATGCCTCGGTCCCGATTCGGACGGTCGACCCGGTTTGGTCAACCCAGTTCGAACCGTTTGTCACACGCGAGACGTCGGAAAAAGTCGTAATAACGCACAGGTCTTATCGAACGATTCAGTTCCCATGTGGAAAACTGGAAGTCCAACCTGACTTTCCTGTACCTGGATAGTATGATAGCTGGTATTGGTCCCGGACCCAAAGATGTCCCATTTCGCCAGTTCTCACACAGGCAATTGCAAGACCCCAGCTTGTCCATTCTCCTGATTGGAGTAGCTGACTCACAAGGGGTCCACAGGTCACTTTTGCCGAAGTGCCTACGTATCAAGGAGAACATTGGAGATCCCATTCTTCTAATTGAAGTAGCTGGTTCATTTACTTACCGTGAGGGCACGGGGCGCGCAGCCCGTAGTTCGTTTGTTTATGTGGTTCGGGAAGGGTAAGGTAGTGATTATGCTATATGTCTGTTTTGTCATGTTCGCTATACATAACTCGAAGAGAGTGCGTGTGCGGTCCCGGTTGGTGCTTCATTGACGATGTTCATGGGACGCTGGACCCAGTTTCCAATAG